GTATCGATCCTAAAGTTCGATACATTTTTCCAGCTCGTAGTTTCGTTAAAAAAAAAAAGCTTCACTGGAGCATCCCGGTCAGAGGCAGGTTCAGATATAAACACTGAACTAAAGAAGCAGGTCAGATAATTATTTAATCGGCTCTGATTAAACAACAACTTCAGATTTGATGTGCAAAATGTAGCATCCATGCTAGCTCTATAAACAAACAAGCCGGCTGATGAGACGTCACGTCTTTTACTGCGCATGCGTGTCACATCAGTGCTGTGTAGCTTTCACACACGGGTCTGATGTAGGTCACATTTAAAATGTAAAGTGAACGTTCACACAAAAAGATCGGGTTTTTTCAAAAAATCGGAACTGAGCATTAAGACCTGCAGTGTGAACGTAGCCATGATCTTTAGGGTTTTTGTATGTTTTCAGATGTTGGCACAGCACTACTTAAGCTGTGTGTATGAAAAGTAAAACAAAAAAAAATTTTGACCAGAAGTTAAAGAATAACTTACGGTTCGATCGCCATCTGTAAATCAACAGCAGCAGCAACCCCACGATCAACGATCCGATGACCACAACCGGAGCAAGGATTTTGGAAATGGAAGAGTCGTTTTCACCAATTTCTCCTAAAAAACAATATGAGAAGAATTAATACTCAAACACATCAAATAATGACATAAAACAAGTATGTAGCTGTAAATGTTAAAAGGTATGCTTGTGCTGCTGTTCCTTTAGGGTCTTACAAGGGGCATATCCCCCGTCATTGACAAATTTTAAATGCTTATAATTTTCAAGATGAGTGGTTTTCTKGACTGGAATTAAACAAGGAAYGCAAATAAACCTTAATGTTTTTGGTGCAAGATATTCAAATGAGTAGGGGTTAAACTGTGTATAAGAACAGAGGTTGGTATTTTTTGTCCAAAGCCAGGCAGGTGGAGGAGTTTTACCACCTGGTGCACTGGCAGAGCCRGGGYGGGGCTGGRGGGTGGCCAKTGGTGGCCTTGGCCATCATAGATTCATCGTTGGCCACCCTAATCACCTGAGAAGGGTTTTTATCTTTGAAAGTAACCTTTTTCATGCTTAAATGCAGCCACACACCAAAACKGAGGTCAATACCTCACCTATTCCTCAAGTTATCACGCTTACAATACGGATGGATGGACGGAGGGCATTTTGAATTCCCTTTTTTCKCACCGTGATGAGGGACAAAAACATWTGGGAGAAGACAACATCTGAACAAGTATTGCTCCAGTTTTAACATGACTGAACAGCTGATACTCATCTATGTGATTTTAGATCACATWGCTGTTGAGTTGTTGAATCAGGTTTTCCTTGAACCGTTGATGTCTTATCTGGAACCATCACCTTGTCTCATCTTTGTGCTAACAGGTTTGACTGAAAGATGTCAGGAACATGTTGCAGCCTGTTTAATTACAAACTTAAAATCTTGCAGTTAGAGACCTAATTATTTTATTTACATTAATCATGAGGCCAATACATAGCCACGTGGAGAAAATGCATTCTTTCCGTTTACAAGCCTCCATTGTTATTGTTCACTGCTGAAAAGCAAAGGGCACGTGATGATTTTTTGATTGTGTGTGTTTGTCTATAAGGTGTAGTGAACCAGCTGTTGTTGCAAGATATTCGTTTAAACCTCTGTCATTTATTATCTGTCTCATAGCAAAATATTTCATGGAATCAGAAAACTGATTTTAATAAAGCTTTCAGAAAGTAATGACATCTACAAGGGATTAATATTTGGAGTCATCCCTATTCTCRATGACCCCAACATCCAAATAGCTTTACAAACCACAGAAATTGGGATGACTTGATCAGTTTACAAATACTGAGCTTAAATTTGGTCATTGCTTAAAGGGATTCACAACACACTCAGATTGCACAAAAACAGATCGCGTGAAATCTCGAGATGGCATGAGATTAAGAGCAACAGCACTYTTCAAAGTTTGACCAAAACAGCTTTAACCCTGTCATGTCTGATGGTTTCTGTTAGCAGGTACCACCTCCACAAAAACTACTACGATGCCAAGAAAAACATGCACAAAAGTTGACCCTGGGTTGAGCAATCTTTAACCAAGGTGTTTTTAAATAGGAGCTGTACCTGAAACTGATGTGTAGAAAGTGTTAGCTTTTGATGATCAGTTAAATTTACCTTCAGGTTTAGCTGGTTTGAACACAATCTCATGTTCTTTGCCTCTACTGGAATTTAACACAACGCAGGTGTACTCGGAGAAAGTGGATCCTGGCAGCAAAGGCAACTCGCTCGAGAGCTCAAACAGACCATCCTTCATCTTCTCTGCCTTGAAGTYGGCGCTGTTTGTCCAATTATTTCCGTTTCCATCAAACCAGTRGAGATTACCTGCAGGGTAGCCACCCTGAGCTATACAAACTGCATGCGGATTGTCTTTCTCCATGGTGAGGCTTACCACTGGTTCATTGTACTTGGCTGTGAATAACAATAAAACAAACACATTTGCAGAGTCAACAATCACACAACATTAAAGTATCTGAAAGAATTGGATACTTTTATCTTTGGCAAGTAAGCACAAGTTAAATAAGAAGCCAGGAAAGCAGAAATAGAGAATGGCTGCTAATGTTTTGTTAACTGATTGTGTCACAGTGAAACTGAAAATGAAAGCACAATAAAAAGCTGGAACCCCCCACTTAATTCGATCCATGTTAACATTTATTTGCAATGAAATATTCTCCTTTTAAAGGGTTCATCAGCAAACTTTACCTGTCACATTAAGTCTTGTTTTTGTCTTTTCAGCACGACCACTGTCTGTAATAACATCACACRTGTACTCTCCCTCGTCTTCCAGCTTAGTGCTGGTGATGAGCAGGGACACATTCATGTTGTCCTCTTTCCAAGACGGTTCAGCAAAGTTGTAGCTTGACTCCGGCTTAAATGGTGTWTTTGTCTTGAAATAGAGCACAGTTGTTTCATTGGCATTCATCTTCTTCCAAACAACAGTAATGATATTAACATCTTTTATGCCCGGTTTGGGTTTGATGATACAGTTGAGCATTGACTGATGGCCGAGTTCTCCAACAGTTCCTCTCCCACATACCAGGTCCACAAAACCTGTAAGAGAAAAAAGAAAATAAATGGTGTTTYATATAAGGCTTATGACTTACTTAGACTGTTCATAAACTTAGTTTAAACTTGAACTTACATAGCACATCTTTTGCAAGTACACAGAGCAAGACACAAAGTAAGAGGGTACCATGAAAGGCCATGTCTTTATACCTGAAATGAGAAGATTTATGATTTGAATGCAGCAGATTAGYTTACACACACACTGTGATCTTTGAATCAAAGTGCAAAGGCCTTGAAGYGACCACAAACTCAGCACAGCGTCTGATTAAGATAACTGGGTTTTCAAAAACATCTCACCATAAGTTATATTTAAAATTTGGTGGCGATTAGTTCCTGCTAATTACAAAAGCTTAGTTGATGAAAAAAAGTCTGATGAAATAAATGATAATTCAGCCATTTTAACACATGGTTCACAGTAAAAGTTGCAAACCATAATCTCTTACTGWAGATACTGAAGCTGTTTGAACAACTTAATTGATGAGGTGGAAGAACGAAGACAAACAATCTGAAAGCAACAAACACTAAAGTAGATTGCTGTTGTCCTCAGATGGTTTTATGTCATTATGATTCAAGTGATAGCTRCTATTTTTATCTTTACACCTCCTCTGAATCACATGGATATTTTTTACAGAACTCTATGTTTATTTGCAAACAGCGAGTGGTACCACTTCCTGTACCGCCTGTTGAAATGACACTGTTTTATTATTATTTTATTTTTATTATTAATAGTAAAACAAAATTATTTTTGAGCRTGGGTCTGCTCAGACCATACTAACAGGCTAGTAAAGACTTATCTAAATGGAACCATTTCCAAAGAGGTTGCCGTCTTAAAGTGACTCTAACAAAATTACGTAACAATTCATTYAAAGACTTTTATTCACCCCGCCTATATTTTGCAACACACGGTTACTCCTGTTGGGAATGACACCAGGCTGAAATGYTACAGCTAGCTGCTGCTGCTATTTGTGCTTGTTAGAATTCACACAATTTTATGTAAATAACCACATTTTACAAAATTCAAGGTGGTGAACCGGTGCTTTGTTTTTGAGTTCAGATTTTAAAATGACAACAATCCAGAAGTGAACCATTTCCCCAACCTGAGGTCATTCAAAAAGCCATCTACAACAGGTAAGATAATTAAGATAAATTTTACATAAAACCCCACCTAACCCAAACATCACTTTAACTAAGATAAAAGTGAATAATTCACACGTTCGTATTCATTAACTTAAACTGATTACAAACTTAGCTAACAAATGTCAAATATTTGAAGAAAGACATTATAGTTACTGAWAATTCCCCCAGAATGGATCTGTGTTACCTGTCTCTAACCTGCTCCATCTTCTCAACAGCTTTTATAAAACTCAACCAGGTGTGTTTTTGTGCGACAGTAAATAATCGCCAATGAGCCGAGATCGTATTACGAAACTGACCCAAATATTGACAGAACCACTAACTAACAACAGAAGGACGAACTTCACATTTAGCAAGGATTGTGTTTCTTTGAAAGAATTCACTTTCGATGTTAAAAGGTGAACGGGTCTAAATAATATCCCACCAAACAGCCATCCATCCATCCATTTTCTGTACACACTTCTTCCTTTTCAGGGTTGCGTGGGTCACTGGTGCCCATATCCAGCAGTCACAGTGCGAGGGGCAGGGTACACCCTGGACAGGTCGCAAGTCCATCACAGGGCCCAAACAGCTATAATTCATTAATCCTCCTCCAGAGAGATCTCCTGAAGCGTGAAATCTCTAACTGAGACCGAAGCTTTACAAACATGAGTTTCTGTGTTTGGGGTCTCATTTTTTGATGCGGAGGCCAGATTTCTCATGTTCCAAGAAGCACAAACAGGCAGTCGCTTGTTTTCATCCTTCTGTTTTGGATGTTGCTGAACTCTCAACAGTTCTTCATACAAGGTGGAATGCTTACAGGAATCAGTGCACAGTCGAGCATCCCACTAAAGACTCAAGGTTAACMGAGTAGAACGATGGAAAAGTCTTACTTTATTAATGGTTTTTAGTAACAGATCCTGATGAACACAGTTTTTGCAGCTCTGCTTTGTAAGAATGTTGCAAAAAAGCAGGATGTGCCAAAAGAAAACGTCTATAGATTCAAAGTAGCTCATTTGTACATTCTGTTGTAATAAATGACTTAAACTCCTGGTAGCTGAAGCAGACCAGTGAAAACATGGATTAATAAAAGACGAAGGAGAAGTTGAACAGTTTTTTTTTTGCACTACTGTTGAACTTCTCCTTGACAAACATCCTCTTTCAGTTCATCATGGCTGAACAAAAAGGGAAGAGATTGTTTAGTTTTATAGATATAAAAAATAAAAAGAAGAAAAGAAAATCGCAAAAAAAATACAAAAAAACTCTCAATAAACAGTTTTTCAGTACAATGTATCTTGTAAAACAGGAAAGACTCGTATGGATTTGTTCCRTGGTCAGTTTTAGAAAATGTAAAACAGGTTTGCTCATGATTTTTCTTCTCATGATGTGAACGGTAATGGAAATTTCAGTAAAACCAGTCTGACCAGAGGCCTATTGCACGTATCTAGGATAAGGGATTAAGCCAGGATTTTGGTGTAAACCTGAATTAATTAAGCCTTGAATCGTTTGCATGGGAGGGGAAGCACTTATGTTTCTGTGGTAACAAGTGCTCTGAAACTAGCCTGATCCTGATCAGGTTTAAAGTGAAGCTTATAGTGTTTTTGAGCAGCAGACAATCGTTTTACAGCAGAAAAATGTTCCTCTAACCAAGTTATACAGTCTTATATCAGCTAAAAGTATTTTTGATCTTGAGTTTAGACTGATATACTAAACAAGATCAGAATACGTTGGATTATTAATCTTGTTAACCTGAAAAGATTTTTTTAACTTCAACAAGTCTTACCAAGTGCAACTGTTAAACTGCAGATTATTATTTATTAATAATTTGAAAAGAATAAGGGTCTAATCT